TAGCTTGGTGTTTCCATTGTTTCCTTGTCCTTGCGTTTCTGTTTTCTTTATTTCCGTTGGCTTTTGTGGGTTTTCCCTCTGGTCCTTCTTGTTCTATGTTATATACTTCAGCTCTGAATTTTTGTCGTATGGTTACCATTACAAATATGTAAAGGATAGTTGTGTATGTGTATGTATATATATACATATACACACATATGTATGTGTATGGATATATACACATATACACACATATATATAGTTGTGTGTGTGTATGTGTGTATATATATATATACATACACACACTAGTCAATAGAATTATTGACTAATAAGTTGATTTAGAATGAAATATTGCTGATACATTTTATACATATGGTAATATTATAATACATTTCAGAGTAATAGAAAAACAACTAAAAGAAGGGGATATACAGCTAGCTGACATGAAAGTCAACTAACTCGAAGGAGTCTTAGACAGTTTAAGAGAGAAATGTTTATATGGGTGTTGAAAAGTAGTGAACAGACAAGAAGTCTTAAGATAGAGTGGCTTTAGGCCATGTTTCTTCTGGACTATTGAACAAATCCATAAACCTCCTTTCACTTAATTTTCTTATCAGTAAAATGCTAATAATGAAGGCTGCCCTGTGAAAAGTGGTAGTATTGTTAACTGTAACTTACAGAAAAGAAAATTAAGGCTCAGAAGCAAGTGTTTTGCTCAATGTCACAGATAGCCTTATAACCCTTATTTTATTCTTCAAAATCCAGTTGGCTTTGTAAGGTGATGTTATTCTAAACATTGTAAAACACCCTTAATACCGAATAACTTGTTTAGTTGGGAAACAGCTTAATGATAGTAATAGTTGTATTTAAGCATGTCGAATAAAAGTAATATAGTAAAACTTTTCTTACAGGAACAACACAGGGGACAAAAGTTTAAAGAACTTTAAAGTTTAAAGGACTTTTTAGTTTAAAGAACAAAATCGCAAAGTGGTATGAATATACTCTTTTGAAATGCTTTGCCATTAAAAAGCCTTTCCAGCTTTATTTTCACTTTTAAATATGTCCTGGCTTGGAAGAAAGGATTTTTTAAAAGGTAGACTCTATCCTCAAACTGTCTAAATTAAAATTCCACATAAGTGGAGTCTAAATAATCTTTTGTAGTATTTTTAGGCAGTATTACATCATCTAAATTTTATAGTGGGTATGCTGTGTAGTGTAACTTAAAAAATGTAAATGCTTGCTTTATTTCTAGTTGTGAATTCCTTTGGACAATTGATGATTTTTATCATCGTGCCCAGTTTCTACAAGTAAAAGATGGGTGGATTATTTTCTCGATGGAGGGTAAGTTTTCTTTATAGCCTCAAAAATAAAGCTAATTGTAAAAGTCTCCTTTGTGGTGTAGAAATGAGTAGTAGTTTGATATTATCTCTGACTCTAATTATTTTTCTTTCTTACGAGTTAGTGGGGTTTTTTTTTTTTTTTTTTTTGACTTTAATAGTTCTACTTGCTATAGTGGTGTCTGATGTTTCTGTTTAACAGAATTATTTCACTCTGACTTATGAATTGTTTTTATTTCTCTGTGTATTCATGTACAAATGATTATCTTTTTTTTCTTCTCATAGTACTTTAATTTCAGTATTATTTGTACGATAGTCAAAATTAAGTATTTTATACACTACTTATGTTTTTACAGGCTATATCTTTTTGCTTAAAGCTTGTCACAAATATTTACTAAAGTCACACTAAATATGCTTTTAGGAATTATAGGATAACAAAACCTCTATAGGTTAAGCCTTCAGAGGAGATTTCTCAAATTTAGAGCTAGAAAAAAAAAATATATTGATAAATGCTCTTCTCTGATATGAAAGGAGATAATGTAGTCTAGGACAAATTATGTTGCTTATTTTTGGACCCCTTTTTACCATAATAATGGAATCTAGCAGTGGTTGGTACACAGTTTAGTTTTGAACTATTAGTGGAACTGCTTTGTTTTGAACTGGCATCGTATCGAACCTCCCCTTTAAAAACTTTTAACAGTTCTACCTGAAGATCAAATTTATCTATTCTTCCTTTGTTTTTCTTGTTAGGTCTAACCATATGAAATTGCCAATATTCGACAACTTTGACTTACATTAATAGCAATTTTATATGGTTCAACCTAATGTTAACACGTCTCGTGGGAACTACAATGAATTGATATTCATTGCCTCTTAGATCGTTGAATATGTAATTGGTAAATATTTTCTCAAATGTCGTATGAGTCATTTTTTCTGGTTTTTATTCTAGGTGGTATAAAAACCATCTTTAGCAAATAAACTCTGCTATAATGAAGTATTCTTAGATGTCATTGTAAATCTGATCTTCAGAAAAGTATTTTAGGAATTTAGAATGCAGGTAGCCTATTGATTTTGACCTCCAGAATCATAAGTGAACTTTTAGCAATAGCAAAGCAGACCATCTTCAGTCTTGAATTTTTTAATATATAATATTTTTGAAATAATCATATCTAAGAAACATTTTTTTAGAGGAAATTTTTTCTCTCTATAAAAGTATGTGCTGTTGGGATTAAGAATGGTAAAAATTGATCTATCGGTGTTGAAAGTACTTCTAGGACTAAAAAGAAGTTATTTAAACCTAAATCTTATTTATAAATAAAGAGGAATATATATTGCTTGACAACATTTGAAAAAAACAATTTTGGATCAAAATGTTATTTTATGATTATATAAATTAAGGTGTTTCTAAGTTTGCAGTAACAAGTTTTAACACTGTCTCTTATTTCTATTTCTTTAGACAAAACCTTCAACTGTAGAAGTTCTGGAAAATATAGATAAGGTATATTCTCTGGCTCTGTGGTGTTTTAATTCGTTTTAGGTGGTATGTAAATATTATTTTAGTACCTATTGTTTTGGGGACTGGATTTGGTATGGGAATTTAGAGATGATATAGAGTAAGCATGAGAACTTTAATGTTACATGATCTCAAAGAAATCCAAAGTCTATCAGTGGCTTAAGAAGACTGTTTCAGGTAATGGAGCCTGTTAGAAAGAAATTAGATCTATGGCCTGGTGTAAATCAATGTTACAGATAGGATAAAGTTGATTATAAGATAGTCTGCAACAATTTTTATTAGTCCACAAACTTCACAGCTTTTTATGCTTTCTATCATTACAACAATGGCTATTCCTTGGGAATACTGAAAATGATGAATAGATTGAAAGAATATAATATGGGTCGTTCTTAGAACTTTTATTCTTTCTTTTTATAGCCAGACTTTTTTATAGGCCTTATACAGGGAGAATTATTACTACTTTGGTTTAACAAATACTATTTGTTGTTGCCAGTTTCATACATCTGATCTTTGCTAATTCGATAGGTTAAACATAATATCTTAATTTTGCATGTAAAAAAGTGATTTGTCCAAATAGGCATTTTAATTTATTTTAACTTAATTTTTAGTTTTCTTTTTCATTATGTTCTGTTTAAAAATATTATTTTATCATGTTAAAATTTTTTGTTAACATTTTAATATCTTATGAAATTTGAGATTTACTAACATAACTTTTTCTTAACAGGAAATTCAAGCACTGGAAGAATTTAGGGAAAAAAATCAGAGACTACAAAAATTATGGGTTGGAAGATTAATTCTTTACTCCTCAATTCTCTATCTGTTTACATGTTTAATTGTATACTTGTGGTATCTTCCTGATGAATTTACAGCAAGACTGGCCATGACACTCCCATTTTTTGCTTTCCCATTGATGTAAGTAAATTATTCTTTTTGTTGAACTTTCTTCTTACTGACCAGATAGTTTTAATATAGCAGTCACTTTTTATTAGGAAATAACAATATCTTAGATTGAATAAATTTGCTTTTTTTTTTTTAGTTAGAAAATATTACTTTCAGTCTTTATTTACAATCCAACATACCTGAGGAATATGACCCAGTAACATTAGTCATAATGGCTCTATATGACAGTCTTGTGATTCTCTAATAGATTTTGATCATGCTTTCCTAGGAGTATTGGGCATTTCAGATTGTGGATATTGGCAAGTGAGGGAGGTTTTGTAAAACAAAAAGAACTGCCCCCAGTGATTCTGAATATGTTCCATTCATCCCACCTCTCTTCCCCTCTTTTTAGTCACTGCTATAAAGCAATTGGTCCTTGGTATAGAAATATTTTATAAGATAGCACATTACAGAAGGTGTGTTGTAACTGAGAATTTTGAGAGACAATTGAATAAAAAATTTGTTCATTCAGTCAACAAACATTTATGAGTAATAACTGTGTAGACATTGGATTATAATGGTGTTTGGTACACAAAAATACAAAAATTCTGACTGTAGATCTTAGACTGTATACATTAAATTAAGTAATAAGTATGATGAATATTGTGAAAGTAAAGTGCCAAATGCTATGGAGCATTTAACAGGGGCCCTTACATAGTTTGGGGTGGAGGCGGGGTCAGAGAAGGGCCTTTGTATTTATTTTCTATTGCTGCCACAAACTTAGCATCACAAACAGGCAACACACCCACATTTATTTTATCACTTACTGTTGTGTAGATCAGAAAAGGTGGTTTGACTGGGTTCTTTGCTTAGGGTCATACAGGTCTAAATCAAGGTTATCAGCTGGTCTGGGGTCTTACTTGGAGTCTCTGGGGGGAGAATCTTCTTACAGGCTCAATCAGGTTATTGGCCAACTTCTGTTGCATTTCTCTGACTTCCTATTCTGCCCTCGGTGAGAAAGCTCTGCATTTAAGGGTTTAACAGATTATGTTAGACTCACCAGGATAATCCAGGATAATCTCCCTATTTTAAAATTAACTGAGTAGTACTTAATTATTTTTGCATAGTTCTTTCACAGCAGTACTTAGATGACTGTTTGATTGTATAACCAGAGGATGAAAATCTTCAGGAAGGAGGGGGATATCTTTAGTATTCTTTCCACCACAGCCTCCCCAAGGAAGTGATGTTTGAGTTTGAGACCTAAAAGATAAGTATATATATCAAGAGTGGTGTGACATAATAGGTAGTATTTTAGGCAGAAGGAACAGCATATTTGCAAGCCCTGAGAGAGGATAGAGCCTGATAGTTTTAAAGAATTGAAAGAAGGCTGAAGACTGGATTATAGAGAAAAGTCTGGATAGTTAGGCAAGGGATATTTCTTGTGGACCTTTTAGTTCATGATAAGAATTTTAGGTTTTAATCTAAGAGTAGTAGAAAGCCATTGGAGATTTTTAAGAAGGAATATGACATGATCATATTGTTACTTTAAAAATACCATTGAGGCTGTGGTTTGGAGAATGAATTAGAGGGGAATAAGAGTGGATTTAGAGTAGCAATTCAGAAAGTTATTATAGTTGTCTAGGGGAGAAATGATTGATAGTGCTTGGTAGCAGGGAAGAGAAGCACAAAGGATGAAGAGATTTAGGAGGTAGAATTAAGGCGATATGGAGAGGTTCTTGGTGTTTAGTTGGATATGGGGTGAGGAGGAAGAATTCTATCAAGGATAAAATTCAAGTTTATGTCTTGGGAAATTTGTTTCATGGTAGTGTCATCTAAATAGGGAACAACATGAGTAGGAGCAGGTTTGGTGACCCACTGAGACTAAAATACCTGTATTTTTTTATTCAGATAAAGCTGCCAAATGGGTTGGTTAAATATTAGTATGAAGCTTAGGAGAGAAATTTGAATAGGAGATATAAATTTAGGATTTGGCAGCTTATAAATGTTTTCAAAGCCATCTTCTGTTCATTCAGTAAATATTGGGCACCTGCAATGTGTTAGATACTGGCCTAGACTCTAGTGATTGAGAAAGTAATGACAAGATCGGTGCCCTCACGGAGCTTACATTCCATTGATGTTGGACAGACAAAAAAATGAGAGACAAGTAAATAAACATAGTTAATTTAGAGAGAGATAAGTATAATGAAGAAAATAAACAGGGTAATATGATTGAGAGGACTAAGCTACTTTAGGTTGGTCCTGGAAGGTCTCTTTTGAGGAGGTGGTATTTGAGTTCAAAACTAAAGTATGAAAAAGAACCAGATTGTAAACAGTTGGAATTTATGGGATGTATGTATGTATGTATGTATGTATGTACGTATGTACGTATACACACACGCATGCACACACAGTGTATAATAGAACATATATCCATAGAGAGATATAGGAAATGATTATTTTCAAATTATTAATGGTAATTCTAGGTGGTGGAATTTTAAGTAGTTACTTTTTTCCAAATGCTTTTTGGTATTATTTGAATTTCTTACATTAGTCTGTTCTTCAGATCCTAAAAACAAAACCAAAATTCAGGAGTTGAGAGAAGATCTTTCCAAGAAGAGAGAAAAAATGCAAAGGCTGTGAAGTAGGGAAGAACATGACTTATTTGAAGGTCAAAAAGATAGGTATATCTAGAATGTGTGATGGAGAGGAAGAGTGGTACTAGGGAGCTTGCAGAATTAGGATCTAGATCATGGAGAATCATGGAGAGAAGTTTGAATTTTATTATAAGTGAAATGGGAAGCTTGTAAAGGTTTTAGTGTCATGATGGGGTTTAAGTTAAGAGGATCATGTGTGTTGCCTTATAGAGACTTGAGTTAGAGGAGGACACGAGTAGAAATGGGGAGATCAGATAGGAGGCCGTTAGAGAAGTTTAATCTAAAGATGATGATGGATTGGAGTGCCCACTGGCAGTGGAGATGAACAGATGACTTGCAAATATTTTGGAAGTAAAACAGACAACTTGATGAGAGGAAATGGGAGGTGAGGAATCAAGCGATACTTATGTTTTTTGGTTTGACAATGTGGGGGAAGGGTTTTTTCTTTGGGACTACTACAGTAAAAAACTTTTTGTATAGTCTTTAGTACAGGGCATATTTTCAAGTTGGAACTCCTGGAGCTCATAAAAATTTAACTTTGTATATAGATAAAAGAGCCAAAAATTGAGTCCATGTATATTACAAAATAACTGTCTCTGCCATTTCTTTATTTTCCTTCTCTTCTGAAATCTTGTGGAATGCTGCTTATTTCAGGTATAGTAATGGGTTTTATAATGCTGAGTCCCTTTCCCTTGTTTTGCTTTTATTTTTTTCATAAAAAGAGGGGAGAAAAGAAATTTAGAAAGGGAGTAAGTGTGAGATGAGATGTTCAGTTGATGTAAGCATCTTTAAAAACTATAAAAACTCACTTGATATCCATTTTCATGAAGAATTGATTTTCTGATTATAAGTGATTTGTGTCTAGTACAAAAGAATGTCTGACTACTGTGCTTATTTTAATGGCTATCCACAAATCGTGAGCTACTGGATCTGCTCTTATGATTCAGATTTTTTTTTTTCTTTTGGAGAAAAACATCATTTAAAATGCTTTCAAAATGTATGTTATTTCTTCAGTTTAATCATTCTATTTTGAGTATGAAGCTGTATTGTCCTTACTGTGTCCTTCTGCCTGTTCTGCATCACCTGTGTCTAGTATGTCTTGGCTTGTTAAGCTTCAGAGCCATTTCTCACTTTGTCTTATTCACATCTGTGACCTGGTTCTCAACTGCTGCAGCTTCTGTTTCAGTGAGCTTTTCACTTTTGGAAACATAAACCAGTTATCTAACAAAGAATAGAATTGTTCTTCTGATTGATGACAATCAAAAAAGCATGAAATAAAATACAATAACGTGAAAGTAGATGTTGTGGTAGATAGAGGGAGGACTTACCACAGGACATACTCTTTTGTGTGTTATGTGAGCTATTGCCCAAGCTTGTCCCTGGACTATTTTCCTTTGGAAACAAAAGTTTTGAGGCCAGGACCACAGTTTACTTAAAGAAATAGAGACAGAAGGAGCAATAAAATGCATTACTTCACTCATTACTGTCTACATTGATTACAAAGTTTAGAAATCTACCTGATAACTGCAAAAAGTATCTGCTATCTCTGCAGTCCAAATTTCCCAAATGCTTTTACTGGACAGTGAGGTCATGGATTCAGGGCTAAGCATATATTGCATAATCACAACTATTCCAAAATTATCTTGTAGTAGACTGTCAGTACTCTATATGTTTTGAGATTTTATTATATCTTCTTTTCAGGATGTAATATGGAGGAACTTGGTGTGATTTTAGCCTATTTTTCTGCCTTTCAGATTGAATAATATATTTATATATCTCTGATCTTTTCAGCTCTTACCGAAACTGAAAATACAACATAAACGATGAACTTATTTCATAGGAGTCATTAAGGCTATGCTCCTTAGTGAGGGAAGGTTTGAGTTACAGTTAAAATTTTGTATTTCTGCATTATGCAGGCAGATATGCATTACTTTGAGAGTTAGTTCATTATCTGAGTGAAAAATAATTAAGCTTTATCTCTGCCTTAAAGAACTCTTTAAGCAATCTTATAGACTTTTATTCCTGGATACCTTATTCTTACAGATCATAACTTTCTAGAAATTCCATTTGCTGTAAGGCCATTTCAGAGACCAATTAGCATAAAATGTTGACCTTCCCAGAAGATTTGGTCATATTTTTCCTCATTATTTTATTTTTATTTTTATTTTTGCACCTCTTAAAATTGGTTATGGGGGAAAATTTTAAGCAAGAGAACTGAGGAAGGTGGTCCTGGCCGGGTTTCTCACATTTTCTCATTTTCTACTTAAATTGAAAGCCGTTTGAGGGTAGGGCTTTGGTTTTAACAATTTTTATGCCTCATTCACACTCCTCCTCCCACTAGCTGTTAATAGATATTTCCTCAATCCAGCTAGAAGGTTGACAAACATAATTTGTAGCCTTTTGAAGATAGTTAAACATTTGTTTCATGACACTCTAATAAGAATACAAAGTATCACTCATCAACTGTAGTTGGCTCTAGCTCTAAAGGAGAAGGTATCTGTTTCCTGATATTTACTCAAGAGAATACAGTTGATTCTTCAGTGGGGGAGAGGGGGTTGGGGCAATGACCCCCTGAATAGTCAAAAATCCTCATATAACTTCTGACTCCCCAAAATCTTAACTATGAATAGCCTACTGTTAACGAGAAGCCTTACCGATAACAAACTGTTGACTAACACATATTTTCTATCTTATATGTATTATATACTGTATTCTTATAATAAAGTAAACTGGAGAAAATAAAATGTTATTAAAATCATAAGGAAGAGGAAATACATTTATTGAAAAAAATCCACATGTAAGTGGAGCTGAGCAGTTCAAATCTGTGTTGTTCACAGATCAACTGTATTTACTTTGGTAGATAAGAAAATCATTTTGCAAGTATTCCTTTTGCAATATCGATAGATATTCACTTGATAGAATTTTGTACTTAATGAATTATGTACTGAGACATAATTAAGAGACACATTCTATTCTTGGATGGGAAGACTCAATATTGTAATGAATTCAATTCTCCCCGAATTAATCTAAAAATGTGATCACAATAAAAATACCGACAATATGTTTAAAATCTTGGTGTACTTATTCTATAATTTTTAATGGAAAAATAAGCACGTATGAATAGTCTTGAAAAGTCTAAAAAAGGAGAAGAATGAGAAACAGTTCTACCAGGCATCAAATGCATTACAAAAATTAATTAAAAGTTTGGTACAGTATGTAAATAGAAACACAGACCAAAGAAAGAGACGTGAGAATCAAGAAATAAATCCCCAAAGGAATTTTTATATATGGTTTTTATATATGATAGAAATGACATTTCAAATAATTGGGGAGAAATGGTGTTGTTATATCCAAAAATAAATCAACAAACAAATAACTAGACTGATAAATAGATAAAAAAGGAAAGCTCGATTCCTGCTTTATTTTACCAAAATAAATAATCATTATTAGTTTGTCTGAATGTGAAGGTTATTCTTGATAAGCTGTTGATGATTAAATGAATGGACGAAATAGTCAACATAGTTATAAGTATTGAGACCTGTATATCTTTTTTTTAGCTTTATATAGTATTTAAATCTCATCTGAAAACATTTTAATAAATTAAATAAGGCTTATATGGTTGTTGGAAAGAGAGTACTTAAGTTTGACAAAAAGGATGAATAATTTCTCTTTAAGCTCTGCCTTGTTTGTGTCATTGTTGGAACTTAACTGAGAAGTTTCTGCCTGTAGCATGTATACTGTTTTCATTGTTCTAAACATGGGTTTTAGGCTTTATGCTTTGAGAAGTTTATCTTGCTACTTCTTTATGAGATAAAGTTTTCCTTTTCTGCTTCTAGTCTTTGGAGACTCTGAATGATCTTCATTGCTTTTGGGAGCCCTTTCACATATTTTGAGGGTTGGGTTTTAGCTACATCTTAATTGTACCAGAAAAGGAATTCGTGGTTTTCTTTTTGTTCTTCTTGTTTGGGTGATTTCTAAGAGAGGAGGTGGGAAAGGAGATTATACTACTATTCTCAAAGTAGGTGTCAGTAATAGTATCCTTAATATCTTCACAAAATATGTTGCCATAGTTTCATACATCATATTTAATTATTGGGAGGGCAAAACCTTTGTTGGGATAACTAAAACACAGATTCTTGAAGTAGTTTAATTCTTTTTCTAAATTTTATTTTAAAAATACAAAAAAATTATTTAATTTATCCTTAAAGTATAACTCATGTTCTACCTTTTCAAGTCTTGAAGACTTGACGAATAGAACTTTGTGTTGTTTTATAGCTCATTTTCTTCTATCTGTAGTTCTGATAAAAACCAAAAGAATTTATTGTCCATAAAGGGAGATTAATGAATTTTATTTTGAAGTAATGGAGTGTATTTCAATTCTCGTAGTTTTTACACTTTTGACGATTATATATGCTTTTAAAAGTATCTACTCATTTAAGAAAATTTACTGATTTCCTACAGAATTCCAGTCATTATCTCTGCACTTCCTTTTCTTGTGTTTTATTTTCTTTCTTTTTACTTTTTTTTTCTCTCTAAATCATCTCTCTTAACTTGCCATTGTTTCCGTGGCTTTGTATTGGAGAAATAGTAAGACTTCTACTGTTGTAGGATCCTTGAGGGTTATGAGCAGATTGTTAAGCTCTTCTCTCATCTACCTTCCCTTGATAAGGACAATGCTCAGGGTCTTTTTTAGTGCTTAGGTAGTTGTCCAAGTACCATGTAGGAATCTGGTTATTTGGTGTTTTCACATAAAAATAAATTATAACAATATATAAGGCATGTATTAGTTATCTATTGCTGTGTAACAAATTGCCCAAAATTTAGTAGCTTAAACCAACAAATGTTTATTTTCTCTCACAGTTCTTGAGGGGCAGGAATGTGGGAGCAGCTTAGTTGGGCGATTCTGGCTCAGGATCTTTTATTCATATGTAAATTGCAGTTAAGCTCTTGGCTGGGGCTGTAGTCATCTCAAGGTTTAACTAAGGCTGGAGAATTTACATTTAAGCTCACATGTAGTTGTTAGCAGGCCTCAACTTCTCATTGGCTGTTTGCCAGAGACCTATGTTCCTTGCCACATGTGCCTTTCTATAGAGTTCCCTGAATATTCTCATGTCATAGCAGCTGGCTTCTCTCAGAATGAGTAATCCAAGAGAGAGAGATAGTGAGTGGAAGAAGAGGCCCATGATGGAAGCTATAGTGTTTTATAACCTAATCTTGAAGTGACATATTATTACTTATGGCATATGCTATTGGTCACACAGACCAACACTAGTAAGAGAGGACTTGACAAAGGTGTGAATACCGACAGAGTTCACTGGTGACTACCTTGTAGGCCAACTCCCAAGAATAGCAATATTTTAGAGTATTGAACTAATTTTTATATTTATTACCTGAATTTGTATTCAGATAGTTCTATTATAAAATGATGAATAATGTTTGTGTTCTTATTCTGCCATGTTCTATGGAGAAAGAGGTATTTTGCTATATTTGCCTTGAATTTAAAAGAACCTTGACAAGTTTGTAATTAGGATCATTCTTTGATTTTCTTTTTAATTCTTTTAATGTCAGTCGATGTCTTATTAATGCAAGGCTTAAACAATTATCCTCAAAAAATCTTTGGAAGGAGGTGTTTAGCTAAATTTACTTATCAAGTATTTATTAGAAGGTAAGATTTTTTTTTTCCTCCTCCAGATAGCTTATTCTATTTAGTGGAGAAGATCCCTCAAATATTAATAGGGAAGGAGTAGAAACTTACATTTGTATAATGCTTTAGATTTGTAAAACATGCTTTTTCCTTAATGCATGGGAATAGACAAATCTTTGGAGTTGATGCTTACTTAGTAAGAAGGGATTCTACAATTTGTTCTTAATCTTTTGTGGAGTTCATTGACACCTTTGAGAATAATGAAAGCAGTGTTCTCTATAAAGAAATGCATTTATGAACACAAAGGCAATTTTGAGATTTAGAAGACCCTCGGAAGGTTCATGGATTTTAGATTGAGAACTCCTTCTTTGAAAGCACAGGTAGACTGATGGTCTCTGAAAGGAGTACTTTTTGATTTTCAACATATAAAAGGAAACAGTGTACCTGACTCTAATTGGAAATGTGTATTTGTTTTCATTTTATATGGCTCATAATTTACATATCCTAATGATGGTTTCTGTTTCTGAATTTTGCTTCCTCTGTAGCATCTGGAGCATAAGAACAGTGCTTATTTTCTTCTTTTCCAAGAGAACAGAAAGAAATAGTAAGTTTAATATCTGAGTTTGTATAAATGCATTTTAAAAAAACCATTTTATAGTGCATTGGCTTGTAATTGAATGGTAGGTTGTGAAATGGTATATTGAAATGACTATGTAATTTTGTAAATATTGAAGAATTGTTTACTGTAAAGCATAAGAAAGGTTATGAATGATCAAGATGATTCTATTTTTTACTTGTTATTTCTGCCTTGTTTTTAAAGAATTATTTACACGAAACAATTCATTTCTTTAAATCAAGAGAAATTATATTTGTTAAATTCATCTTAATAGAAAACTTACGTTATTATAGAGTAATGTGATAGTTGTATATCATTTGATTTATTTTAATTGCACCATTTTCTTTAACCTCGCAGCCTCTAGGCCTTTGTTTTTATTGAAATATGTAAATTATGATAAAATCTTCTGTATTCTGTGTCTATACAGCTTTTAAAGATTTTTAGGTCTTAAAACTATGAGCTATAATTAACCAAAGATAGGCAAATTTCATTTGAAATGAACTTTATATGTGACATATTTTTTTCTTTTCTTGTTTTAACTTTTCATTATAGAAAATTTCAAACCTGTACAGAAGTAGACTGAATAGTATAATGAACCCTCATATACCTATCACACAACCTAAACAATTATCAACTCATGGTCAATCTCGTTTCATTTTTACCCCCACTAAACTTCTCCATCTCCTGTATTATTTTGAAGTATATCCCAAATGTATCCATAATAGACTTTTAAAAAAATTAACACAATATATTATAATACCTAAACATTTTTTTTAAAAATCCCAAAGTTACTCAGTTAATAACATTTTATAACTTTCAGGTGTACAACATTCTAATTAGATAATCTGTATACATTATAGAATGCTTACTACCACTAGTCTGGTTTCCGTTCATCATCTTATATTTATTTGATTCCCTTTACCCATTTTTGCCCTCTCTCTACCCCTCTTGCCTTTGGTAACCACCAATTCGTTGTCTGTATCTATGAGTTTGTTTTGTTAGTTTATTTGTTTCTTTAAAAAGAATTCTTAATGCCATAAAATATTACATATAAAAATATTAAATTTCCAATTATCTTATAAATATCATTTACTTTAAAAATATCTTGATTGATTGGCTCAGGATCCAAATAATGGTCACAGATATATTACTTTCAAACTGTCCTCCTTGCTCATGACTTCTACTGAGTTTAGGCTCTGTGGTCTAGTCCAATGATGATTTTTTGCAGACTCCCTTGACTCCTTTGCCTTCTTTCCCGGCCTACTTGTCTGGCAAACTATACCTTGCTCAAATACAATTATATATTGTATAATCGACAGGCTAACCTCTATCCTGGTTAAAAATATTTATATGCTTAATCTATGCCTGTATTAGAAAAGCTAAATTTGTTAGAGGAACATCATACAACATGGTGACCAGACATATTTAATTTTATTTTTATTCTTTTCTTCTTCAAAGGGTGGGATCAAAGAGGGATTTCAGGAAGACACATGGATTCTTTAGAGATGAGGGAGGAAAAATGAGGGGGCAGGTAAACTACTTGGGAAAGGCTGGGAGCAACGACCATGGGAGTGGAAAGAAAGAGACTGATTGCTAGAGTGAACTCCCTATGCTACATGTAAACTAAACAGACTTCACTTACTTCTGGACTTGTCAAACACAGAGTAGAGAATCATCTCACAGGAAGAACTTGCCAATAGCCACGTGGATCCAGCTCAAATTCAGAGTTAATCTAGGGCAGCTCCATTCAGTCAACTTTCTGCCATGACGGAAAGATTCTAGATCTGTGCTGTCTGGTATGGTAGCCACTAACTACATATAGCTCTTGAGCACTTTAAATATGTCAAGTGAAACTGAGAATCTGCTTTTGAAATGTTTATTTCATTTAACTAATTTAAAATTAAATATGACCAGAATTATTTTAAAATATCTATAATTGCAAATACCAAATGTCCACCTGAAACTGCTGCACAGCCCTATTTTATAGTTCCCTAGTAAATTCACTTTATTCTCTTTGAGAGCATTGTTTGAGATTGTATTTCTTTTTTATTTAAATAATTTTTTAATTTTTCAATAACAATTTGCATATAAAATTAGTTTCAGGTGTACAACATAGTGATTTGACAGTTATATAAGGTATGAAATAGTCACCTCGATAAATCTGGTACCCATCTGACACCATACATAATTATTACAATATTATTGACTGTATTCTTTATGCTATACTTTAAATCCCCATGACTATTTTGTAACTACTAATTTGAACTTCTTACTTCCTTCCCCTTTTTCATGCCCCCACCCCAACCCTCCTCTCATCCTGGCAACCTGTTCTCTGTATCTATGAGTTTGTTTCTGTTTTGTTTATTCATTTATTTTGTTCTTTAGATTCCACATGTAAGTGAAATCATATGGCATTTGTCTTTCTCTGTCTGACTTTCTCCATTCAGTACAATACCATCTAGGTCCATTCATGTTGTTGCAGATGGCAAGATTTCATTCATTTTTGGCTGAGTAATATTCCTTTGTATATATGTACCACCTCTTCTTTATCCATTTATCCATTGATGGACACCCAGGTTGCCTCCATATCTTGGCTATTGTAAATAATGCTTCAATGAACATATGGATGCACATGTCTCTTTGAGGTAGTGTTTTGGGTTTCTTCGTTTAAATATCCAGTGGGATTACTGAGTCCTTCTTTGTTTCTCGTTAAAGTCTTTGTTTCAAAGTCTATTTTGTCTGGTATAAGTATTCCTACCCCAGCTTTTTTGTTTGTTTCTATTTTCATGAAACATCTTTTTCCATCCCTTTACTTTCAGTCTGTATGTGTCTTTTGATATGAAGTGAGTCTCTTGTAAGCAGCATATGTAAGGGTCTCATTTTCTTATCCATTTAGCCACCCTATCTTTTGAATGGAACATTTAATTCAATTATATTTAAAGTAATTGTTGCTAGATATGCAATTCTTACCATTTTTTTATTGATATTTTTGATCCTCTTCCTCTTTTCCTTTTCCTCTTCTCCCTTCCCTTTCTTTCCTCTCCTCCTCTTCCTTCTTCTATTTGTCCCTCTAACATTTCTTGTAATACTGGTTTGGTGTTGATGAACTCCTTTAGCTTTTTCTTGTCTGGGAAGCTCTTTATCTCTCCTTCGATTCTAAATGTTAGCTTTGCTGGTTATAGGCCCTTGGTTTTCATCACTTTAAATATCTCATGCCAATCTCTTGTGGCCTGCAAAGTTTCTGTTAAGAAATCAGTTGACAGTCTTATGGGAGCTCTCTCGTAGGTAATTAATTGCTTTTCTCTTGCTGCTTTTAAGATTCTCTTTCTCTTTAACCTCTGACATTTTAATTATGATGTGTATTGGTGTGGGCCTCTTTGAGTTCATCTTGTTTGGGACTCTTTGTGCTTCCTGGGCTTGTACGTCTATTTCCTTCACCAGATTAGAGAAGTTTTCCATTGTTAGTTCTTCAAATAGGTTTTCAGTTCCTTGGTTTCTCCCTTCTCCTTCTGGTACTTCTCTTATGCAAATTTTGGTATGCTTGATGTTGTCCCATAAACTATCCTATTTTGGGATTCTTTTTTTTTTTGTCATCTTGTTGTTCGGATTGGATGTTTTCTGCCAGTTTATCTTCCAAACTGCTGATTTCAATTCTCTGCTTCATTTAATCTGCTGTGTTTATTTCTATGTATTAGGTAGGACTACTATGTCTCCTGGTCTTAGTAGAGTGGCCTTATGTAGTTGGCGTCCTGTCGGGCCCAGTGGCACTGTCTCCCTGTTCGCCTGAGCCAGGTTTCCAGGTATGCTCCTTTTATGGGTTGTGTCTGCCCTCTTGTTGTATTCGAGCCTTGGTTGCTGTTTGCACATCAATGGGAGGGATTGACCCATGGGGTAATTGGTTGTGTGGGCTGGCTGGTGACTACAGTAGAGGAGCTATTGTGTAGGGCTGACCCTATGGAGTAAGATTCACTTTAGCAGGACACTGGTCCCTGCCCGGTCTGCCCTTTGGGTGTGTCATCCTCAGATACTGCCCTGGTTGGTGCTCTGGCTTGGTCTGAAGCCAACCACAAGCATGCGGCTCCAGGGCCTCCTGGGAGGGGCCCTGCCACAGGTCAAGTTCAGCTGCAAGCCTATGCCCTGCTCAGGACCACCTGGCATGAGCCGCTAGCAATCTATGATAGCTGCCACCTAAGCTGGGCTTGGAAATGTCTCGAGAGTCCAAGCTATAAACCAAGGCTGGCTGCCACTAGTGTTGGATTTAGGGCTGCTCAGCTAGTGATAAGGGACATACTGAGACCAGATGCTACTTGTTTGAGTTTTGCGAACTTTTGAGAGATTTTAGGAAAGGCTGTACCATGGGCCAAGACAGGCTATTTGTATGGAAATGCCACTGGATTTGGTTTGGGTGGGCCCACAAGTTGGGTAGGGCAGCGTTTTAGGAAATCACCAGGACAGGACAACCATCTTAGCTAGGTTGGTGGAGACTCTGATATGGTGGCGTCCTGTCTCTGCATGCTGGGAGGGAGGAGGGCTCAACAAAGAAACAATGGATTTTGCCAGCACTTCTGTCTGGGAAGAAGCTGCCCCTCAGCCCTCTCCCTGAAGCCAGACAATTCAGGTCCTCCCTGTATGTCCCTGGAGCCTTTGGAGATGCTGCCCTATCATTGGAGCTTTGAGTGAGTCTGTCAATGAATCAGTCTGCATGCAGGCCCTTTAAGAGGGGCACTTGGGACTCTAGCAGCCCTCTCTTTCACTCTGCTACAATCTTCACTGGCTTTCATAGCCAGACATTGTGGGGACTTCTCTTCCCAGCGCTGGAACCTGAGCTTGGGAGCTTGGTGTGGGGCTGGGACCCCTTGCTCCTCCAGGGGAACCTCTGCAGCTGAGAAACCCTCCCGAGTTTTTAACTGCCAAATGCAGGTATGAGACTAGCCTGTTCTGTGTCTCTGCCCCTCCTTCTATTTTCGAGATGGCATCTTTCGTTGTCCTTAGTTGTAGGACCTCTGTTCAGCTAGACTTCAGGTGATTCTCAATAATAGTTGTTTTATAGTTTAGTTGTAATTTTGATGTGGTTGTGAGAGGAGGCATGTATAGCAGTTAATCTATATATAGGCATATATAGAGTAGTCTGCCATCTTGACCAGAAATCTGTGAGGTTGTATTTCTCAAATTAGTAATACCTCCCTACCAAAAACCAAAAACCAAAAACCAAACCAAAATAAAACCAACCAATCAAATAAAAATTCAGAAGCCACAAACAAACAAAACCCCACAGTCTACCTGGCAACTCGTACCTGATAGTCTCATTTTATGGAGAAAAATAGATGTAAACAAATGGGAGCTACTTTTGCCACCAAATATATCGAGTTAGCCCCATCTGTAATTCAGTATGTTATCTTCATGGTATTCTGGAAGACTGACTTGGATCCTATCTATGGCTAAGCCCTCCATTTATGCTGTAGATTCTGAATACTCTGGCCATCTCAAGAACTCTGCTCTTGCAGTTATCCTTTCCTGGAATTATCCTCTCTTTTGTGTTATCTGTTTCTATTGTATTGTCCCTATTGGAATATAATCCTGACTTAATACAATCATCTGGGGGGAAAAACCATATCTTGACTTCATATTCCCTTTAATCTAATATATATTTCTCCCCTTTAATCTAATATATATTTCAAAGTCCTACCATCTTTACCTCCAAAAATATCTTGAATCTGACCACTTCTAACCTTCTTTATTACTACTTCTGTTCTAATTCAGGTCAGTATCATTTCATGCTTGCACTACTGCAATGACTTTCTAACTAGTCTATTTTTAAGGTATAAATCAGATCTTGGGGCTCTTCTGCTTAAAATTCTCCAGTAGTATCCCATTGCAACCAGAGTAAAATCTGAATTCTTACCCAATTCTCTGGCCTTTGTCATTTTTCTAACTTCACCTCCTTCTATTCTTCTTTTTTCACTTTTGCTCCAGCCACACTGCCCATATTTTTTTCCTACCAATAAGTTTAAATTCTCTGAACCTTAGTTTCTTAATTTATAAAATGGAAACGAGTATTTATTTTGGCAGGACTATTACAGGTATTAAACAAAACTATATGTGAAAGCATGTAAGTGCTGAAAGTGTTATACACATTTGGGCTGATGGTACTAATTTTTTTTTCAATCATTTTTAAAAATTTTCTTGCCTTTAAATTTTTTCTTGCCTTAATGGGTTAGACCCAGAATAATATTGAATTGAAGTGGAGATAGCAAGTATTTTTGTCTTGTTCCTGATTAACCATTAAGTGTGATGTTTGATACGGTCTTAAAAGATATTGATACTTTTTATTAGATTAAAGAAATTAAGCTTATGGTATTGTTTCCAGTGATATTTAGTAATATAGTAGCTGCTGGGAGGATAGGAAGAAGTTTAAAACAAATATGCTCTCTGACTTCATGGAACTAATAAAATAGTTAAAAATATATAAGAAACCTTATTTTAAAAGTCCTTGGAAACAATTCTCTAAGGAAATCAAACGTATGAATATTTTAACTTACAAATAGGCATATCAGGACTTGGTTAATATGTAAAAGAATTTTTGCTTAAAAATTTACTTTAAGGATCCTTTCAAAAATTTTTACTAATTCATTTGATTAGGTAGTACATGTACATTTAAAATAGCCATCATAAAAGATTGTCTTGTCTTATACATTTTTCTTTTAAAGCATATCAGGTACTATATATATATATATATATGTATGCATATATATACACACACATGTACATACACATATATGCCTGAAGTTATTGGTTGTATCCTTGCTTTTTGTTCTTTATTAGTTTTATTTTCTTTGTTTTACAAGTAAAGCCTATTATATACTAAGGATTTGCAAACAAAAGCCTATGAACCAAGTCCTGCCTACCACCTTGTACAGCTCATGATGTAAGAATGGCTTTCACATTTTTAAATAATTGAAAAAATTCAAAAGAACAGTATTTTGTGATATATTAAATTTGTATGGAATTCAAATTATTGTTTTTATTGGAACACAGCCATGCCCATTCATTTATGTGTTATCTAGCGGCATTCATTATATAATGACAGAGTTGAGTTGTGACAGTCTGTATGTGGTGCTCTCAACACTTCAGATTGTTGCAGGATGCACAAAAAATCAGTGATGTAGTTTTAACTTGACAGCATTTCAAGTGCCACCTGTATTGCTTTATTGTGACAATTTTATTTTATTTTTTTGCCTAGTGCATACTTATTATTTAAGAACCAGAAAAGAAAATTGGACTTTAAATGTTGCACTTTTAGAGTACAATGGAATGTAGACTTTTGTTATCAAAACACAAAGCATTAATTTTTAATTAAAAAAACCCCCCCAAAAGGCAAATCATTGTGTTCATTATGCAATGACATATAGTTGTGCTAAAAGAATAAAATAAACATTGACATTACCACATTAAGTACTCATCATGATATTTCTAACTCACAGAAAAGCAATGGTCAGTAAAATTAGAATATTAAATATGGAATATCTCTTCATAGCAGAATTTCTTCATAAAAATAGTGAAAATATAACTAGTTAAATGTTTTTAGATAAAAACTAGAAACCTAAAATAAATTTATAAAGCAGACATTGACAATATTTCTAGAGAAAAAATAGAAACTTAAGGTACATTTGTAAATCAGACATTGACATTCATAAGTGATAATTTTTGAAATGATTCTTCATATTACACACACTATGGTAACCTAAACAAACAGGCAAATCTTAGAAAAGTTTAATTTTGAAAAGTTTGGTATCCCCTTTCTTTCCAAGTCCCCCTTCAGGTATATACTTTCGATTTTCAAAAGGTTTTCTTTATTAGTGCTCAATTTCTTGAAGGTTGAATAACTTAATAAAATATATTATGTATTTATTTCCTTATAAACAATGAGAACATTTTTATTACCAATGTATACAAAGAGATTTGGTATTAATTTTGTAAATTTGGGTGGGATTTTGAAAGGAAAGAAAAATAATAGTGATGTTTCTGCAAATATTTTTAAAAATATATGTTCTTAAATTTGGAAAGGTGTTATATTCTATGTAAAAACCATTTTTCCCTACTTAGCTTGTGATGTATAATATAGGCAAAAATATGAACTATATATGGGTAAAGATTGAGATAATTTCTATCTGTACACATTGGTGAGAAATCTTAAAATGAGAACATTTTCTTGCGATTGGTTGCTTAATGTATATCATTTGGCATAATTTTTTCTTATACCTAAGTAATTTAATATCTGATTTAACTTTGATTTGAATCATGTTTTCTAGATGAAGCATTGGATGATTTAAAATCCCAGAAGAAAAAAATAGTAAGTTAACTTTTATTTAAAGTTAATTTATATAAAACTAATAAATTAAAAAGTGAATCATTAATGTTTATATGTTGTAATGACTCTCTAAGATAGCATTTTAATGATGAAGCTAAGTTATGAATATTTTTGCTAGAAATTTAAAAAAATCTATGTTAGTTGGAAGCTGAGAAGTAAATAAATGAATCATTTTGGAGGACTAAATGAGGCAGAGGGGGGAAAAAAATGGGTGTCCAGATCGATTATTGATAAGGGCCATAAAAGGACCAAACATCTACATATGCTTGTTCTCAGGTTTTCTTAACATGATTAGGTTAGGAGAGAGAGAATCAAGAAGATTGGAGGTAAAAGACAAGTTTAACATGAAAAGGCTGAATAAAAGGGGAGAAAGATTTTTTTTCTTTGGTTTCTTCCATTTTCTATCAGGAACTCTCATTACTTGGGTAGCTAGGGCCAGTTAAATGCATCCTTTGTATGTGTTGGAAAGAGGGCCAAGAGTAAGAGAGGAAGGGCCCTAGATATTTAGAAGTTGATATATTATAGTCTTTAATAAGTGAACTGAACTTGGTTTTTGACTTGAATTCCCATATACTTTATTATATAATTATTTTAGAAGTATGAAAATGATCATTGATAGCATTATCATGTTATATGGAAATTTAGTGAAATTTAATTAGATGTAAATGATCAATGTATTTTAGTCTAACATGTAGTATGTTACAATTATACATGAAACTAATAAAAATTTTGAAGGTTAAGATTAATGTTAAAAATTATTCTGTGAATTGATAATAAAAGACACTGGCCTTAAGGATTTTAAGTACCTGAAAAATAAAGGAACTTTAATTCTGAAAGGATTTTTTATCTGTTTTGTTTGTTTGATGCTTCTTCAGTGTTCTGTGAGGTTATTTATCAAAATTGCATTAACATTTTTGATTGTCCTAAATTGGAGTATAGATATAGTTCCATTATATTGTATTATATTTCTGACATTATGTACATTATGGAGCAGCCAGAATTCAAGTGAGAAATCGTGATAGTTATCAGTAATATAGAAGTTGTGATATGATTTGTTTGGTTTGCTGATATGATAAAAAGAAGAGCTGGTAGTGGTGGTCAGAGCCAAGCCCTACTTGTACCAAAATGGAGAAATAGTAGTTAAAGTAGAAAAGACAAAGAAGAAATCAAAAGAAAAAAGAAAAAAAAAAAAACAAGAAAATAAAAAGTTCTAAGTGATGATAAGCTGTCACAATGTCAGTGGCATCACATCAGATAACAGAATCTTAGAGATCATATGATTAGGTAAAAACTCTCTATAGAGTAACATAACAAACTTGGAAAATTCTGTGAAAGGGTCAGCCTAGCTATTTACTTCTTTAATAGCCCTTGAAGGAATCACAACATAAAAGATGCTTCATCTAGGCCTGACAGTTGGGAAATTCAGTTCAGGGTTCAATAGTTATCTATATCTAAATGGTTCATGAAGCATTAGAATTACAGAATATTTCAGTATGCCATTTCTTTTGCAGTATGATTAAAGAAAACTATGTTGGCTGCTCTAACTCATTTTATTAATTAGGGAACACAATTTACATTGACTTGACTGTGGCTGGTTATAATACTGTTGCTACTGGGAACTAGTCTCTGGCCTTTATTGCTCAAGCCCTTAACAAAGCTGCTTTGTTTGAGTAGCTTTACACTTTGTTTAGAACAATAGGTGTTAAGGGTGAATTAGTAAGTAGCACAGTGCTAGCTAATGATTGTGCTGGTAATGAGAAGAAAAGAAGGGACAATACTTTAAGAATAAGCTAAATGTAATCAAAACTGATCTTTTAAAAAAACTTATTTGTTGATGTTTAAATTTAAATTCTACATTTATAGCTTAAAAATACTTTCATTGTTGAAATGCCTACAGGCAAAATAACTTAGTCTAAAATTATTCAACTCCTAAACCTTTTCTTTTGTTAACAAAATTAATACATTATACTTACTACTTGACATTTTATTAAAGGTGGTTTCCTTAGGTATACTTCTCTTCAATCTGAATAGATTTGTAATGAAATTTGTAATTCGTAAAAGTGTAATTTGTAACAATGAACATGAATTATCAATTGATTAAAAAGTTAAATTACTTAGAAAGGAAAATGAGTAACATCTTAACAATGTTTTAAATCTAAGAATTTAATGTATTTTCTTATTAAAATAAAGCTGGAATTAATTTTTAGTTATCTAAAAAACTCCCAAGTCTGGATGTGTATATTTTGCCACTCACATATTTTGTGATCTTAAAAAAAAAAACCTTTAAGTTTTAAAAAAACATCACTATTCAATAGATAATCCCTCTGAATAGGTAATCCATGAACATCCATCAAAGCAGTTCAAGGTCAAGATACAAAACATATGCGTCAAAATGGCCTCTGTAAGTGGTTTCATGAAAATGCTGTGCCTTTTCCAAAATAGTATTTCTATGTGGTAATTCTGGCATTTTTCAAGAAATTTAAGTTTTTTCAAATCCTGAGAAAAATAAGTTGAGAAAGTGGGAACATGGGAAAAAGTGTTATAATTCTCTGGGAATTAAAGCTTAGCAGCAGTTAACTACAAATGTTACTGGTTCAAAGGAATCCACTAATGTCAGTTGAAAGCAAGAGTGAGAAATGCTGACATGCTGAGCGGCAGGTTAATGTGGACATTTCTGGGAACAGGACAGGAGCATGTAGAAGAGAAATGGCACAGTCTAATTACAGTCAGTCAGTCTTGATTTTGTGGCCATGTTATAAGTATGTTTTATGTGCCTGTCATTAATGGTGAGTTGTTCTTACAAATAAATTATACACATAGTATACTTTTTACAAAATCCTGTGATGATATTTCATGACATAAATTTTGGGAGCAAAGAATATCCTTAAATTGGCAATTTCAGCATGTGATTCCATGTAGAGCTGTTAACCTCGTTAGACATTTCAAATGTTACATTTTTATATTACCCAATAATGTTTGCTGGCATTTTCCAGAGTTTGAGTATTCACCGTAAGCTACAGATCTTTGTAAATACTTTAACATAAGAAATGCAGAGAGAAAAGATGTGACTATTGTTATGAAATACTCCTGTATGAAATCAGAAAATGACATAAAATCTGAATTGGTAAAAACAATATTGATTTCAGCAGCAAAATCAAAATCAGGATAAACAGACAATATTTTCATCATTATAAAAGGATGAATTTAAATGATGCAACATGTACCTAATGTTCTGAATTTAAGATACTTTTGGGTATACTCTTAATAATTTGACCAAAGTCAGTGCAAAACAAAAGACAATTTTCTACATCTGAAATATTTGTCATGAAACAAAAATCATGAATATTGGGTAGGGCCATTAATGCTTTATATATTTTAAATTTTTATTTCAAGAATAATTATGAAATATTAAATATTTGTGGTTATCTTTCAAAATTAAAAAAATTGATGTTTATTTTATTGGTGTTCTTTTTTAGTGTTCTATATGATGAAATGTCTATACCAGGCAGAAATAATTGTTACATGTTATTAAAATATACTTGTCAAAATAATGTTGATTCCTAAAAAATAACTGACCATCTATTTATTATTCTTTTTTAAATAAACTCTGAAACTTTTAGTATAACCATGTCACAGAAAAATAATTTACTCTTTGTTATAGCATTCATTATTATTTAAAATATATGAAATTTTATGAAAATCAAAAGGAATTTAATTTAGGGAATTCTGAGAATCTGGTGTTTTACTCCTGAATCCTGGGATTAGGGTATTTGGAAACATTGCTGGCTTCAGACCCATTCTGAATAATTGAGATATCATTGAAGATTATGTGTTAGGTACTGTTGTAGATTCTTTCTCTTACATCATTATATTTAAATTGCACAACAGTGCTATGAAGAAAATCTTAATGTATCTGCTTTACAAAAGGAGAAACTGAGGCCAACAGACTTGCTTAAAGTCTTTCTAGCTTTGAACTCAGACCTTTTCTGACTTCACAGTTTCAAGTTTATGTTATTTCCACTGATCTAAATGAAGTAAATGATTTTATTTAAGATATTTACATGTACATAGACTTAAATATGAGTACTTGCTGAATGAGTTACCAGGAATTGCAATCATTTGATGAAGTGGCATTTTGGTTTTGAGTTTTGGGTGTTGTTTTAAAGATCCTGATTGTATATAATTATCTTTTTAAACCTAGCAATAGTCTTAGTTTAGAACTGTGTTGTCCAAATCAGTAGCCACTAACCCCATGTTGCTTTTTAAATTTACATTATTTAAAATGAAATAAAATTACAGTTCAGTTCTTCAGTTGCACAAGCAACATTTTAAGTGCTCATTTATCACACATGGCTTAGTGGCTACTGTATTATGCACATATAAACCATTTCCATCATTACATAAAGTTCTATTGCCACAGCACTGTTCTAAAACATCAAAAATTAATCTATAGAGATCAAGGATTCAGCTCTTTGATATTCTATGTAGATTATGTTATTTTGGGGATGTATTCTATCATGCCCCTTTTCTAGTCTTATTCTCAGTTTTTCCCCAACTCTACAGTGATATTACAAACATTTCCTTTAAATCAGAAACTTAAACTTGCTTGTTTTGAAAATTTATTATAATTTTGAAATAATTAGAAAAATGTTTTAATTTCAGTAAACTAAGGTTAATAAATCTTTCATCTAAGCCCTTCTTAAATGTTAAATTGAATTTTTAGTGAGGATCTATTAACTACTATTGTGGCAGCATATTTTTAACTGTATTTTTAATGGTAAATGTGCTCTGTCCTTTGGAATATGACATTTAATGAATCTAAGTGGCTATCAGTGGTCACTGGGAAGGAAAAGGTTCTGATCCAATTTTTGCAAAAGCATTTTATTCTGCACATTTGCTATTTGTCATGGCTGTGACTATCTCACACTGAAGTTAAACTTTTTCTGATATTGGACTGTAACTGCTAAATGATACTTTACTAGTGATTACTTTTAAAATTAAACCCATGTATTAAGCCATAAAGTGACTTGAGTGCATTGTAAATAAAATGCTATAATAATGAACTGTTTTAATTATAGTCCCTTAGTGTGAACATAGAACTAGGTAAAAATTTTGCTTAAATTTTTACTATGTTCAGATTTTTCCCTCTGAAGTTTGAATCTAAGTAAAAAAGGGGGAGCTTCAGCTTTTAAAGTCATTTGAGCAAATTCCATGGCTGTTCTCCCAGTTAGTGAGTTTTCACTGCATTTGCAGCAAGCTAATTGCTTCTGCTAATAAATAATCTAAAATCGATGCTGACAGCAGTTAATTGGCACAGAGATTTTATTTTGTAAAGCTCTTGGCTAACGACCTTCTTTAAATTAATAGCATTAAGTGCTATGAGGAAATAAATCTGAGGAATTGCCTGTCATTTGCTTGTCATGTCTAATAACTTCCAATAATGATGGCTGATAGATTTTTGCACATTCCATTATTGAAGTTGGTGCATGTAATTATTCTCCTCATTATATGTAAACAATTAGCAATATTTGGTATTTCCTTGCAGTAAAGCTGTTAAATATAAGTAACATATTAGAGGTTAGAAGTCATTTTAAAATCTGGATTTTAATTATTTGACTGTCAGAAGTCTTTTATGCTATCTGGATATATTATAGGCTGTTTATTTTAAGTCTTTCACTTGAACACTTTTTGAATAGGATTTATAAAATCAGTAATGTATGTGTTTTAAAATGTGACAATTTATGGAAATTTTCGTTCGCAGCTTGAAGAAGTTATGGAAAAAGAAACTTATAAAACGGCTAAATTAATTCTTGAAAGGTTTGATCCAGAATCAAAGAAAGCAAAGGTAAGTCTGTGATATCACTACTATTTTATTATAAACCGCACATTGTAATAGATCACTGTAGTAACATTATTATAATTGACAGGAATTTGAGCCGCCATCTGCTGGAGCAGCTGTAACTGCAAGACCTGGACAAGGTAAATAACTTTGTAGAAACTGCTGCTGCTGTTGGAAAGATCCATATTTACCCAAGTGAGTTCAAAAGTGTGATAGAGGTGTGTAAAAACTTATGTAGAATGCTTTTATGTTAATTTTTATTTGGTAATTTGGGATATGACTTGGAGTGATGGCATAAGTTTATTTCATTTTGATTTTGCATGATTATGTTGATAAAGGTATCTGTTAAGACCAAAAATATAAATGGTTTTCATCTTTGAAATCTAAGGAATTTCACCAATATTTTGTAAGGTTTTTTTCCCCCCTCCCCTTTAAATAAGGTTCTCTTGGAATATTTATTGTTACAAAAATTCTTACATTTTTATGATTTATTTTTGAGATAAATTTAATGAAGACTTTTGTCAAATATGAAGTTTCTTCTTAACACTTATTCAGGAAGAAAATAAAATAATTTAGAAATGAATGGAATTATGGCTATATAAATAACGTTAATGCTTTCTTTTTGAGGTTATGTTGCAAGATTATTAATGAAATCATCATTGTTATATCATTAAATATTATGTAACATTTAAAAAGTCATTATTTCAAATGGTACATAAACTTTTCCCAAGACTGGCATGTGAAAAGATATTTCTGAGTTTGCATTGGATTCTCTCTTTGTTCTTTTCTCTAGAATATAATAATATAATTTGTAAGACTTTTATTATAGAATATACTACTATTTTAATAAATTTAACATCTGTTCTTATAAATCTTCAGAATTATAGCTTGGTTAATAAAGCTAAGATGACATTTAGAATTTTGAGAAGTCAATTCTTTTATAAATATCCACAAAGACTATAGGTACAAAATAAAGCTGTAGTAATTTTAGGTTTTCTAATTGGCAGAGCTATGTGGGAAGAATCCTATCCTCTTCTATATTCCATAAATAGGATTTTGGTTTTTATTATTTTTTAAAATTTATTGAAGTGACATTGGTTAACAAAATTATATAAGTTTCAAGTGTACAGGTCAATAATATGTCATATGTATATTGCATTGTATGTTAAGCACCCAAAGTCAAATCTGGAACCATATGTTTGACCCCCCTTTACCCTTTTCTGCCTCCCTCCCTCGCCCCTTTCCCTCTGGTAACCACCAAACTGTTGTCTGTGTCTATGAGTTTTTGTTTGTTTGTCTTGTTCATTGGTTGCTTTCAGTTTTATATCCCACATATAAGTGAAATCAAAGTTTTCAACTTTTCTGTCTGAATTTTTTTGCTTGGCATGATAATCTCAAGATCCGTCCATGTTGTCACAGATGGCAGTATTTCATCTGTTCTTATAGCTGAGTAATATTCCATTATATATACGTACCACATCTTTATCCAATCATCTATCAAAGGACACCTTATTTGTTTCTATGTTTTAGCCACTGTGAATAATGTAAAAGTGAACAATGGGGTGCATATATCTTTATGAATAAATGTTTTCAAATTTTTAAGGTAGATACCCAGAAGAGGGATCGCTGAGTCATATGGTAATTCTATTCTTAATTTTTTGTGGAACCTCTATACTGTTTTCCATAGTGGCTGTACCAATTTGCATTCCCACAAGCAGTGTGTGAGGGCTCCTTTTTTCCCACAACTTCTCCAACATTTGTTTTGTTGATAATAGCCATTCTTATAGGTGTGAGGTTGTATATCATTGTGGTTTTGATTTGCATTTCCCTAATAGCTAGTGAAGTTGAGCATCAAAGACCTAAATATAAGACCTGAAACAGTAAATTGGATAGAAGAATACATAGGTTCTAAACTCATGGGCCTTGATTTTAGAGATTTTATGAATTTGACCTCAAAGGCAAGGAAGTAAACAGCAAAAATAAATGAATGGGACTATATCAAACTAAAAAGCTTCTGCACAGCAAAAGAAACCATCAACAAAACAAAGAGGCAACCAGCTGAATGGGAGAAGATATTTACAAACAATGCCTCCAATAAGGGGCTAATATCCAAAATATATAAGAATTTTGGATTTTAGAAATATTAGCCTGCGCTTTTGAAAAATGTAAAGTTTACATATGATTAAAATAGTTGATTACAGTGAGACTCCTACTTTAAATATCAGCTTAAATTTTCTACAATTTATATTTTCTAGTAATTATAACAAAGTTTTTTGGCCTATCGTTTAGGTTTCTATGATTTTTACAGTATTTGGTGTAACTGGTACTAACTTTTGAAAAATACTTTTTAGATAGCTTTAGGGAATATATTTTTTAATGTGATATTTTGCAGAAAGCTGTTATTTTTTAAAAATCTGTTTTTTTCTCTCATTAAAAAAGAACAGATGTATGATCCTCTTTACTAACATTCTTAAGTATTTATTAATATCTAGGCAACGTAAGTTACTTGAAAAAGCTAAACTTATCTTTCCTTAGAAACTTTGAAATCCAAATAAATTTTTTCCTTTTGATGTCATATCATAATTATAGAAAAACCATTGCTGGTCTCTCCACTTTGGATTCTTGTGGCATAACTTTTAGATATTCTTTTCTAGAGAATTAACATTTAACTATATTAGTGAATTTTTCATTTAAAAGAATGTATTAAATAACTCTTATGTGCAGGCACCATGGGGAATAAACAGATGATTATAATATGGTTTTTGACCCTAAGCTTATAACTTCTTTTTAAAAAATATTTCTTCTGGAGTGTACTATTTAGTATTCCTAGCTCTTCTAGGTCTATTGTAACTAATTGCTGTTTGGATTTTTTTCCTTTTTTTAAAAAATTATAAACTGTATTTCAACTTTATTCTACTTTTGAGAATTATAATTTAATTTTGTTGTTTAAATTAATCCTGTCAAATCTCTTTTAAGTTCTTCTTATTTTTATAGGTGGCTTTATCATATATTTTATTTATGCTCAAGTTCTGTTTCTACGTGTTTATGACAAACTATAGAAATGATCCCTGAAAGTATAGTCTTACGTTTCTATGCGTTTAAAATGAAGTCTTTTTCCTTTGCTTGAACCAACCTTCTCTTCCCCTTCCTTCTCTTCCCTGTTTTCTTCCTCTTTCTCTCCCTTTCTTTCATGCATTTCTGAACTTAGATAATAGCAAGGGGGAATAAAGTCCTAAAGAAGTATGTATGCACATATGTGGCACTTGAATAGCTGTACTCTCCAAATTGAATCTAATTATGTTGTCCTTATTTTACTAGATCTCTTGCATGGTTGTCAAACCAGAATTTTGATTCATGTGTAGTAGTTATTGTTCTTTTATTTTTTTTTACTTAGTTGTTAATGCTCTATGTTATAATGAGATTGATTATAGAATTTGAGAATAGTATTGTTTGATTTTGTTTTGGTTTTGTACTAAACGGAGTATTATATTTGCTGGACATGACTAACCTGACTGCCTCCCCATTTTTAATAGTCTTAATCTTTTAGAACATTTTTAGATTTATAGAAAAATTGCAAAGTAGGTACAAAGAATTACCATATATCCTTGTACAAAGTTTCCCCTCCTATTCACATCTTACGTTAACACAATACATTTGTTAAAATCAGTGAACCAATATTGACTCACTATTATTAACTTAAAGTCTATAGTTTATTCAGATTTTCTTAGTTTTTACCTAATATTCTTTTTCTGTTTAAAATCTCATCCAGGATATCACACTATATTTAGTTGTCATGTCTTCTTAGGCTTCTTTTGGCTATGCCAGTTTCTTAGACTTTCCTTGTTTATGATAACCTTGACAATTTAGCCCTGACTCCTTTTTATAAGGAATTTTTTTCAGTGGATGTTAAATCTTAGAAAATCAGTGTCATCATTTGATATGGAGGAATAAATAAACATGAAAAGTAGGTGTATGTATAAATATACAGATATACATTAAATACATATATACATTAAATAGAATGATATGGTACTTAGACACTTAGCATTTATTCTAGTTCTGTAGAAATCATGGACTGAGAGATGAAAAGCCTTAATGCCATTTCTAGATTATAAAGTAATAAAGTTTGGATTTAATGAAAAATGGAATTTGTCACAGTGTAAATTCTTGAATAGCTTTTATAGGATAAATAAATCCAGATATTTGGGGATGTTAAAAAATTAAATTTTTGTTAAAGGTTTAATTGATATATAAGATTAAATTTGACTTCTGTGTTCTAATTTCTGATTTATTCATTTTTCTTCCAATAATGTTTACAGTGTGTGTGCTATCTTCCAGTTATTGTTTTAGGCCCTGGGGACATAGTAGTGAACAAAACAGACAAAAACCAAAACAAAACACCTCTCTCCTTTTGTATGTATGTGTAGGAAAGAGACAGTTAAAAATTATATGTAAATATATGTACACACATTCATATACATAAATGTGTGTATATATATTTAGATGGAGGAAAATAAAGACAAGCTGGTGAGTAGGGAGTGCCTTGAGTGAGGATGGGTTGAAGTTTCAAATAGGGTTGTCAGGGAAGGCCACATTGATAAGGTGGCATTTGATCAAACACACGAAAGAAGCAAGGGAATGAACCAGGCAGATATCTGAGGAAAGAACATTCCAGACAGAAGAATCAGTGAGTTCAAAGACTTGAGTGGAGAGCATGCCCAGATTATTCTAGAGATAGCAAGGAGGCCAATATGGTAGTAAAGGATCATATCATATGGGGTCTTACAGAATGTAGATCATTATAAGAACTTTAGTTTTTAATGATTTAAATTTTTTTGTGTGTGTGTTGAACATAGGATAGACATGGTCAACATTGTGTTTTAAAAGGAAGGTTACTGTGTTTAACTTGCAAAGGAAGCAAAGGTGGAAGCAACGAGACTTTAGAAAGCTATTGCTTTAATCTAGGAAAGCACTGATGGTGGCGTGGACCTTGGTTTAGTAACATTGGAGGTGGTTTAAGAAATAGTCCAAGTTTGCCTATTTTGAAGGTGGAAGATTTCTTGATTGATTGAATATGGTGTCAGAGAAGGAGGAGTCAGAGCAGACCTCAAGATTTTGGCCTGAGTAACTGGGAAGATAG